GCAAACCAGATTCACTTAATAGCTGTATTACTGACTTAACAACTGCAGTGATTCACTTAACAACTGTCTTGCTAAGCAATGGAAATTTTGGGCCCAGTTGTGGTCGTACATTGAGGACTACCTACTCCTGCTTAGAAGTAAGGCCTCATTGAAACTTTCCATCTAACTAAATCAACCTTAAATCGAATTGTAACTGAAACAGTTTGAATTGATTCAATTCAACAATTATCAGTCACAAATACATCAAGCAATGTGGAGTATCCCGTTTCATTTATTGTTATATTATCAATAATATATTTTTGTTTCAAAATTGCAACCTTATGAACATGTATATGTTTGGACTGCAGCTGTAGTTCTCGGTAATATTTCAGCAAATATTGTGTACTGAAATATTAACAAATAACTAGAGATTCTCCACACATATTTCTCTTTCATAAATACCTTAAGAGTCACTTTGATTCTGAATTTTAATGCTTACTGAATATTCTATACATAATTTATCTTACATTAAGTATTTAGCAGAAGTATCTTATACTAGGAGTCCCAACCCAAATTATGACTATCACATACTGCAGTAAAAAAAAAAAAATCAATGGTGGCTTATCTGTTTGTCAGAAAATGAATATGCAGTTGTTAGTATACAAGATTCAGAATTTTTTCCTCAGAAATTTTTCCTCTAGGCTACCTTTTGTTATTTATTTATTTTATTTATATTCTGCCTTTATTATTTTTATAAGCAATTCAAGATGGCAAATAGATCTAATACTCCTTCTTCTTCTTATTTTCTCCATAACAATAACTCTTTGGGGTGAGTTATAAGGATGCATATCATCTTTTTGCAGCATTCAAGCTCAACTTTTATATTCAAGCTAAAGGAAAATTTTCTGACACTGTTAATAAATGCATAAAAATCTTTTGGTGCATAGATTTCTAGATGATAGAACAGAAACTATTGCTCAGGATAATTCAGAAAGCTAAAGAATATCTGTACCCCAAAGAAGTTAATGTGCTTTGACTGTGTTATTCACATCAAACAGTGGAAAGGTGATCATTTTCATCTGAAAATGTTCTAGTTAGACAAGCAGTTAATGAATCAGGGGACTGAATATGTTATAATTTAATAAATTATAAAATTATAATTTAAATTATAATTATATTTATTATATTTTATAATAAAATTAAATTATAGGACAAAAAGGGAATTTCTGCTGTTTTTTTCTTCTATCTTAACTATTGACGTATATGGAGACCTTCCAATCTCACTTATCGTATTGTGGCTGCTAGATTAGACAGGATGACTACATGACAGCTGATTCAAAAATCATATGAAACAATAATCTTGTTTTTAACAGTTTGTTGAATAACAGACTGGTGAAATAGCTAGTTTTACACATTACATTGAACCAAAACCTGAAAAACCATACTATTACCGCATTGTATGAACTCTTGCCGAAGTATGTAACTTAGTAATAATTAGAACTGAAGGCTCTGAGGCACCTTTGCACATCCTGCCTCCGTACTTTCTTAGTTTAAGCATCTTTTTGGCTACTAATGGAGCAGAATCCTAGCCTAGATAAGCCTTTGGCCCTATCAACCAAATTCAATATTTTTCCTACATACCTAACATATGAAACTGAACAAAAGTAAAATGTAATATATCCTTCAAGTGTAATATGTGGAGTATATAAAGTATGATTTAGTAGATATGAAAAAGCAAATGAGAAAGATTGAGATGTCAGCCATATGATTACTCCTCCAAATGTTATTTCACAATTCGAACATTGCTGACTAAGCTAAAGACTTTGCAAAATTTCTTTCATGCTATTAACAAATAAGAAGTTAGAAATTTTCACCTAGTGAATTATGAAACCTATCCATTTCCACATCCCTGAAAATAATTGGAGCATGATCTGACATGTTTATTTAAAATGAGAATGACAAGATTCCTGCTAAATTACTCTAGATCAATATTTAAACTTACATATTAGTTAAAAATTATCTTCTGGTACTGTATCTGATAGTGTCAGGTTTCTGATCCAACTATTTAGCTCTACCTGACACTGTTAGAGTTGCCTTTTCCTATCTGATATAATTGTTTCCAGATATACAAGAGTTCAGTTGTATTTAGATCCAAATTCTGTCCATCCAGCCAAAGATGCTTTACAGTTAGTCCTTAACTTACAATCACAACTGGGACCGTAATTACATCACTATGCAGTTTGGTTGTTAAGTGAGTCATGCCCAATTTTACGACTTTTGCTATAGTCATTAAGTGAATCACCACCACTATGTTAAGTTTTTAAGTAAATCTGGGTTCTTCCCTTGACTTTGCTTATTTGTTGGAAGCTGGCTGTAAGGAACCACTTCAATCCACATCTTAAGAAAGCAGAACTCCCTAAGCAACCCCCACCCTGCAGTTCTTCCGGGCAATTTAGACTGGCAGGTTTCTAGGTGTTAAATCCAGGAAAGATAACATGAATCCGGCTCCGTTGGGCACGATCATTCAACAGTTTCTCACACAGATCCCGGAGGCTGCACGGTAAGGAGGAGAAGTTCAGAGGGGCATAGGATGAAAGGCAAATGGTTACATTGTGATGGTTAGCAGACCTGAAAGCGAATCAACAAAAGGGTACTTTGTAACTTTGTAGTGAATAGAGGAAGTGAAAGTAATAAAACCCCCATGCATACCCCCCTCCCCCTTAGGAGTATGACAGGATCCAGGAGAGAGTAAGAATTGGTTTTATTCAGAGAAGATAGAAAGGAAATATAACTGGATTCTGACACTGGCTAGGAAAGTTGCAAATGGTGATAACGTGACCCTGGGACACTGCAAACAGTATGCCAGTTACCAAGTATCTGAATTTTGATCAAATGACTGTGGGGATGCTGTAAGTGCAAAGACTGGTTGTAAGTCACTTTTTTCAGTGCCATTGCAACTCTGAACATTCACTAAACAAATGGTTACTTCTATATGTGTATTTCAAACTGAAACTGGAAAATTGGCACCAACTATTCACTTCCGGTATTTAATATGTGACTGTAGATAAGCCTGATGATAAGAGCTGCAGATTCAGAAAAACCAAATCCTTCCTCATTAATTTAAACTACATTTTCAGTTAAGATATTCTCAGAATAGAAGAACAACAGTTTTCCAAACAGTTTATTTTCTGAAAATATTTTTCCAAGTATTTGAACAGTGAAACAGTGGTGGGCACTGAAGGCAGTGTAAGCAAATCTTGTCAAGCTTGGGAAGGAAGCATGGCGTTTAGACCGAACGTTGGTCTCCAGGGAGTTCTGCCTATTTTTAAAAACATTTTACACTTAATATTTATGTTAAGAGAGCAGTCTACAACAGTTTTTATTAAAATGTGGTTTGAGGACCATGAGGACCCTTGACACCCTCTCAGGGGCTGCAAAGATCACATTTATCAGATATTGAAAAAATTTGCAAAAACTCATAAACACACACACACAAATTATATGCAAAAATACAAAACTAAAAGATAGAAATAGAAAATTAGCAAAAAAGAAAAAGCCTCAGAAAACAATAAAAGGAAAAAAAGGAAAGAAGAAGAAAAAAGTAAGTAAAGTAGAAAATAAATGACTTCTGACTTTCTAAGGTTACCATATCTCTGCAACTTCTTGATAACTCCATACAGTATGAATCCTCAAATCACCTTTTCATTTCTTTCAGTTTCTTGCAAGAAACTGAAGTGGTTTCCCAGTAGAATTTGTCAATCTTCTCATTATGAGTACTTGTTAAAAATAGTTTTCATGAAAAATATTTTACTTATATTAATAGCCAATGGGTTTAATGTTATTTTTACATGATTCATGTAAAGTATAACTGAAACAAACAAACAAAAGCTCTATAATTTTTAAAAATGGGAAGGTTTTCCAAGAACAAAAAGTTTAAAAACACTGATCTACAACAAATAGGTTTTCGCAGGAAAACATATCCAACAAATTGGTAGAGATGGTAGAGGGGTTAAAGTGCAAAGCTGAATATTGTAAATATGTTTTTAATCAAGATTTTGTTTGAAGGGCGAAGGGTTACTCTAATACTGTATATGATAAATGCAAATGATTAATAAGTTTGCCAAACTTTTTGAGAAGGGAAACATATCTGTCTGTATGCATTTTATGGACAAATAGCACTTGTCTCTGGGCAGGTTCCACTAAAATTAGGACATATACACATCATGCTTTTTGAGACTGATATATATTATGGTATGAACGTAGGCTCGCTGAGGTGTATAGTTGTAAGATAAAAATAAACCCAAGAGTAAACTGCGCATGTTAGTTCTGCTTTTTTTCTTGTCGTTCTGGCAGATGTTACTACATAAATCTTGTGTGGAAACTTTTCTAAGTGGGAAGCCATTGGTGGCCCACTCTAATTTCAACATCATTGATTCTATCTGGAGCCACATCCTTTAATGGCATAAAACGGAGAGATATGGTACTTGGAGGAATTCAACGGTCCTCCTAAATGAAATACTGTAGCAAATTCGCCATCAACATTTTGGGGCGATTATTTTAACGTGATTAAACCTGCCTAACTAAAAAATGATTTAACTTTTCACAAAGCTCCCTTATCACGCAGAAAGCATCCACAGGTTTCTTCTTTCAATAGCAACCCATTATTGATACACTATTCATGCGGTGGAAAGTTATTGCCGAAGATCTCTCTCAGGCATTGTTTAGAGGAAGACGAACCTAAAGCGCATATTTCAGTATTTCCTCTCTCCAATGCTGGAACTGTTTAAATGGCTTTGGCTACTCTGCGCTTTCGGTCCGTACTCCTCTCCAATACAGGATTGCCAATCGGCCCTAATACTCTGCAACGGCGCCTCTCCTTTTCTTTACCCGATTCTCCAGTTACCCCCCCCCCACGGACAGAGGCGGCGTGATTCTCCTGCCACGCCACCCCCCCCCCCGCCATCACTGCGCATCCCACTGTCTCAGCTCCCTCTCCTTCCTCTTCAGAGGAGCAGCAGCATCTGCTGAGTTCCCGCCTCTATCTCCGCCCGGCGCCAAGCAGAGGGAGGCGGAGGAAAGAGAAGAGCAGAGAAGCGGCGCTGCAGCGAGGGCAGCCGCAGCAAAAGAAAGGGAGTTTTGTCCTCGCTGCTGCTGCTGCGCCCGGCCTCTGAGCAAGCCACCATGGCCGCTGCTTGCCTCAGGCCGAAGGCGGGCTGCGAAGCGCGAAAGGCAGCCGCGGCCGCAGGAGGAGCAAACGCCCAGCAGTGACCAGCCTCCTTCTCTCTCCCTCGTCCAGGCCGCGTCCTCCGGCGTCGCGCTGAGGGGGCGCCGCTCCGCCTTGCCGTCGCCCCTCACTTTCCCCTCGGCAGCGGAGGCGGTACCAGCATCATGTGGGGGAGGCTTCTCTCCGACATCGGGCAGAACGAGGACTACCGAATAGGTAAGGCGAGGGAAGCGGGCCAACTTGCGCGTGGCACGGCATCGCTATGGGTGGGGGAAAAGGCAGTTTGTCCCGCTCGGTGCCTGTCTGGCTGGCGTCGGGGCAAGGTGGTGGGGCAAACGTGAGAGCAACCCTGGGTTTGGGGAGGAGGACTCGACGCCCCAGCTTCTGGGCTTCGCTCTCGCGCTTGCCCCATTTTCGACCAGACTCCCTCCCAAGTGTGCCCGGTTGGTTCTCGTGTCCGAAAGAGTTCGTTAACGCACGCCGCCATCAGGCTCGGGGAATCTGGAGAAGGAGCGGGATGAAGTGAGAGTTGTGGAGGGGAGAGGCGCGTAGGCACGCGGTTGGAGGCGACGGCAATCTGCCCAGCGGGGCGGATTGCAGCCAGCCCGGGTAGGAGGAAGGAAGGAAGGAAGAGAGGGAGGGGAGCCGTTGACGCTGTGTAAAGCAATAGAAGCCGCTCGGGGCTATATTTAGAGCTTTTCTCCACAATCCTCTTTAAAACTGGGATTGGGCAGCAGGGCTTGATTTGAGAAATGACAGCCAGCGCCAGTCAGCAGGCTTCCTTCTAACATTCTCTGCTTTCTTTTCGGAAGCTCCGGAGATGAGTTTGAAGACAAGAGAGAATTTGGCTTTAAAAAAGGAATAAATGAAATATTGCTCCACGCTCTTGGTGCTTAGCTGCCAGGCAGAGATGCGCATCCTTGTTCCAGAAAGTAGGGCCAATTTGAGTGTAGGACTTCACCTTGAAATCCCATAGACATAAAACTGCATCCCTGCTATGGGACTGAGTGATACTCCTCAGGAGGTAGTATAGTTCTAGCATTTGGATTGATACCCAGTATGTATGTCCTGCCCAATTCACACAACAGTATCTCAGTTAGCAAAACAGGCAAGCAATTTGTCTTATTAAACCATCCAAGATAACATTGTGTGGAATATTGCACTGATGATAAAAGCTTTGTTTTCACTGTGAAGCCCTACGTTTATACTGATAGTAGAACAGTTAGATTGCACTGGTTGAGAACAAGCTGTACTTTTCTGCATAGCTTTTAGGATAAATAGCAATTATTTGGTAATTCTTTTGGTATGAATTACTGTACTGTTCTGTATTTTTTAGGAACAGAATGTGTTGCTTGAAACTGTCAGCCGTTCTAGAGGAGAAGAATTATTATACCTCATAAAGATGCAATTGTTTAACTACCCCCATTTTCTCATATTTTCATTAATAATCAAAGCCCCTTATGCTAAAACATTTGAATTTGTTTTACAGTTAAATGTAAAGTTACATTTGGCTTACAAAAGAATCAGTCTTAAAAATGAGTTGTAGAATTTGACTGGTTCACTGTAAATTTATTTTCTAGATATATTTAAATAATGTTTTCCTTGTCAATTTATTAAAGTAGTGGTACAGTACTTCAGTGATCATTCATGTGTCATAGCTGGGGCAAAAGTAGTCTAGATGAAAACCATAGTAAATTATGGAAAGGTTAATCAAATCTTTAAAATTACTATAAATGATAAAAATAATCATAGAATGCCTATAAACATATATCAATAAATATTGGAAAAAGAGGGCTTGTGCTTCTGTCATGGCAGAACTCAATATCTTTGACAGAGTGACTTGTGGCACTTATACAAAAAGTTGAAAACTACTGCACTAGAATATATTTTATCTATTTTTATCCTTTGAATCAATGTCATGGTGATTTTCTATATCATGAAATGGTTGGGTACAAATGCTTCCTTATGTCATTCTGGATATCTCATTCTAAAGTGAAAATTATGTTTTTATTATGTTCATTCATTATAATTTCTCTGCTCTATGCAAGCTCCCAAAGGCAAACTGACCCATGTACTTGCAGAATTTTATTTAGTTGACCTTTACCAGGCCCCTTTATTATTAGATGTACTCTGAAAATTTATCTATTCACCTTGTCTTTTAATTGAGTTAGGAATTATTTTTGCATATAATACATCTGATATATTTTTATTTGATTTCTTAAAATTGTTTAAATCTATTCCTTTGATTTTAATATTCTTATAAGTTTGAAAAAGTTTACTTAGAAACCTGGCTTATGATTTTTTTTAAAAAAATCAGAAGTAAATAAATAGTTTGTCAGGTATATTTAGTTCTACATTACTGATTTCTTGTAGTTTATGTTACTTAATACTGTATTTATACTATAGGAGAAATTAGACATTAAAGGAAAGCCTGTTTTGCATTTTAGAATCCAAATCCAAATTTATTTGGATCCAAATGAATTAATTGAAAATAGAAAACCAAAACCAAAACATATAGCACAAAAACATGGGACTATAGCATCTGTGATCTGGACACTATCAACTTTCTATACTTCAAAACAGTTATGTCTGGCAATTGGCTAGTTGAGAATTATACCGTACTATACCATATTTTAATATTTTGGTGATATTCAATGTTATGAAGTTTTCACGAGATACAGGAAATGAAATATTAGATCAAATATTATAGTTTTTATTCATTAACCAAATGTCTAAATGGTGACAATCAATAAAAGTTTGTAAGTGCAATTAGCAGATCTTTCTATGAACATACTGTTGAAATGAAGAGATACATAAGTTTATGAAAAATGCAGTGTTGCAAAAATGCACATCCTCTCAATATTATATTATTTCAGTATTTTTGCCTGTTCTTATTTTGTTTAGATTTAGAAAATACTGAAATGAGAAATAAAATGGATTGATTGAGATTAATGGTAGTGAAAAATTAACAGGAAGTGATGCTTTTAATTGTAAAAGCTAGAAATTCAGTGTGATTGTTAAAATATATGTACAATCAGGTAGACAATAATTTTAATCGCTGAGATATAAAAGAGGCTACTTGCTGAGTATATTATTACTAACTCTTTGATTGGTGCAAATAACTGTTTGTTACAGTGGTTCAACCAATCAGATTAGTTTAACTATGATGGTATAAAGATTCTTATCAGCTGGACTTCTTTACATTATTCTGTGATTCAGAAATATGTGTGAGTACCAGAAGCAGTAAAAAACATGTTAAGAAAAATGTTACGTATTATTATTACTTAATTTTATTATGGCTGCCCACTCCAAAACTCTGTTAAAGTGTTGACCATATCCAAACAGAAATATCAAGCCTAATTGTTTCCAGTTTATTTGTAGATTGCTTAATGGGTAGCCTGGATTCTACAAATAATGATCTGTCCAAACACAGATTCTATTTGCAGGCTGTTAGTTAAAATAACAATATTTTCTCCCTGAGCACAATGTATGAATTCACTGATCGTTGTACTTGTTAAGGATCTAAATTTGCTTTGATAATCTAGGCAGAGGTATATATTATCCAAATATTTTAAAAAGTCATGAGTTATAGTAGAATATGCTTTTTTGAATTTCTCCTTTGGCTGAGTTTTTAATAGGGATCAATCATCTCATTGTTTTTGAAGAAAATTTCTGAACTCTTATGAAGGAGATAGTAGTTGTGAAGATAAGACTGATAATTTGCTACATGTGAGCCTAAATACGTGTATTCAGTTTTTATTTCATTATATTTTAGATCTCATTGTTCAGAGATGTGACCATCCTCCATGAAGCAATATGAATTGACTATGTGAAGTATTACATAATTAATTCCAGATTCAGATGATTTTTTTTTTCATATGAAAAATGTAGTATCGAACAATATTCCCAGTTCTCTTTTCAAGATGAAATTGCTTCTGTTGCTTTTCTAGCATTTCAAAATTTCAGAATATATTCCTTTTACCCAACTAAACATGCAGGGCTGATAGTGTAGTGTGAGGTGCGTGACTATCAAGTTACATATGACATCAGTATGCATGAATGACACAACTGCTCTCTGCTTGTGCTATTTTAAAAATCCTTAATTATTTCTTTTCTCTAGAAGCCAAAGACTCTTACCCTGTGCTATTTAAATGCAGAGAAGCAATACTGCAGATAAGATGTTGTTTGTAAATAACATAATTGTTTTAATAAGGATGCTAATTCTGCTTTTGATGGGCCATATACTAATTTAATTATTTTGATTGATATAGTCCCAATGGAGACTGAAAATAGTTTTCAGGAGTGCTTGCATACAATGAGGCTTTTTTCAGAATGGGCTGACTTCATTTGGTGGAGGACTATATGTTTATTTGCATATGTATTATTGCATATAATGTGACTTAATGACATTTTTGAAAATTTGAATAATAAAGTGTTTTTAATCTGAAGCAATATTTTTTTTACAAAGCCTTCAACTTGAATGAGAAAAACATGGCAATCTATATAAAAGCTTGCTGCATCATTTAAGCATGGGAAAGAATACAAAATAATGAATATGTTTGTGGGAGGGAAATGTATAGTTTCAAAGAAATGTATAATTTCTTTACTTAAAATATTTTAGCTGGCCTTTGTAGGAAAATTACTTCCAATAATATAGTAGCATTGATTTTTGATTAATTATATCCATTGTTGTTGATTGTTAATGAATATATAGATTTTCTCCACACAATATCCCTAACTTGATCCTTCAGGCCTTCCAATGAATTACTCGCCATTTAATTGAGTCCACATGCGCTTTGCCATTAGTTGTCCTCTTTTTTCCTTCCAACTTTTTGAGCATCAGTGCCAGTTTTAGGTCCAAAATACAATTTGAGCCTGGTCATTGTGCAAGTGAGAAATACCACAGGGAATTATTTTTGTCATCTTTCTTAGCTTTCATATTATTTATTTTTTTGCTGAGATTATAAATTTGCTATTCATTCCTGTAGTGAAAGCCAGAGCACATTTTTATCATCCAAATAATATTTAAATTAATGACTCTTTATAGTCAATATATGTGATTGATTTTAAAAGGCTTTTTATTTGAGGAAAAAATAGATACTAAACAATTGGCTCTTTCTTTGAGCCAATTTGCCATAATACATGAAATGATTGGGATGAGGAACATGCCTTTTTTCAAACATGAAGAGTGCTATGAGTTTTAAGTACAGCTGCTAGCCCCCAATAGATCTCCTTGACACAAAATTTCCCAGAAATATTATCATTTTTATCAATTAATGTTTCCTATTGAAATTATAAATTGAATCTGTTCCTTGGTAATATGTAATAATTGTTACTTCTTGAACAATAACATTTCTTAGCAACAGGTAATTTGTAATGAAAGTGATAACCTCACTGACAATGTCATAATGTAAATTTCAATAGCATGATGAGTTCACAAATCTGTTATGAGCTCTGTAGGGTTTTGTGGATTGGATGACTGTATTTAAAACATAAAACTGCCGAATATGTACTTTCTAGATGAAAATACCTGGATAGTATAACTAGAGCCTCTTTGTTTTATGGGGGTGAAATGGATGCGGGAGAGGAGGATATGATGCAGATAAGAATGCAGGAGTGATGTTGGCTTTTAAGAATGCTGATGTGTCCTTGCAAGAACAGAAACTGATAGTGAGTTTTTAATTCTTTATAGTAGCACTGTTATTGGTAGAGTGTTCAGCATTAGATTTAGATTACAGTGCAGCAGAAGTGCACACAAAATATATCTAGTTTTGAACCTATTACGTTAACGCTGTTTCACATTTGCCATAGTTTAGCAGAAACAAAATTTGGAATGTAGGTGTAAAATTACATAATGTACAAGCAAAGGAGAAAATAAATCTCAAAACAGACAATCTAACATAGAACATGATGTTTTAAGAACTAACCAAAAGGAAGGAATAAAAAATCAGCTCATATTTAACAATTGTTAATGTTCAGTTATGATTTTAATTACTTTTTTTTATTTACTTTCAGTAAGAAGAAGTTGAATGTCCAAGGTCAAAATTTTTTCCGCCATTTAGATGCAAGAATTATGTAAAATAGAGATTATAAATAATAAATCTTATAAAAATATTATAAAATAAAATCAGTATTATTATGAATCAGTAATGAATAAAAGCTCCATTTATTATGCAATACAGAGTAACAAAGACAGTCTTCTTCATTACATGTCACTGTCATGATTTGGTCCTGGAAGCTAATGCTGGCTCCAAATCGTATCAGAGTGGACGTCATTTAAGTAGCTTATTTATTAAATACAATCTATATAATTTGAAATGCTTCTCCTTTGTATCACTTTTGTGTATGCTAGCAAATCAGTTTACGATGACGAGAAATATCTCTAATTGCTTGGGAATCCATTTATTTATTGTATAGGGGAGCAGATGTCTCATATCCATTGTTGAAGAAAAAACCATTTGTTACTAATAGTCTATAATAGGAGGAAGGCTGCTTCTGCACTTGTCTCCAGTGTCAACTGTTCTGTTTTCCACATAACTTTAGAATCCTATCTTTGGTTTGTAACCTGAGGTTCAGGAGTCAAACATATAAGCATACAAGCTTATATTTTCATTCCAGTGGTGTCCTTTACTACAAACCATGCTCATAAAAATTTCAATAGCACTTTTGTTACTTTTATGAAAGGCTAGTGCTATTCTATGTTCAACAGCTTCCTAATTTTTTTCTGTTAACCTTTTCTTCTTAAGCAGAGTAAGTTAAATTCAGTGATTTCCTCCCACATAATTATATGTAGGCTTTTAATACATTTGTATTTTCATGAACTGTCTTGCCAGTTTGTTGTGTACTTTTATGGAGGATTGATTTAAAATCAGCTGTAATAACTGTGAAAACTATATTTCAAATTGCATTGATTTGGTAAGAACACACTACAATTTATTGGTTCTTGGAACTGGACTATCATTGACTTGGAGACCAGTATAAACCCATGGATTAAGTAGTACAGAATTAGAGCTAGCTACCAAATGCTCATATTGACCATACTAAGTCTACAACAATTTTTGGTCCCATATGAAGTGGGTACTGAAAGAAATTCAGAAAAAGATCTGACACAACTTTAGCTTGTTTTAAGTGATTTTCATATCCTGATTGATTTATTCTCCTGATTCATTTAATGATAATGAAAATAGTGTGCAAGCCAACCTTTTAAAGAAGTTTTCAGTGTATTTTGCAATTCAAAAAATAGTACCTGTTTATGAGGGAATTTATTTATTAGCAGAAAGTATGCAGACAAATATATATTCCAAAAGTGGCTCAACTGGAAAAAACATATAAAGAGTACATTTGGAGAGAAAATTTTACAACAATAGATACACATTTTCATGTTAGATGACTCTGTAAATTGATTAGAAATGGCTGAAGCTTAGTAAATAAGAAAAATGAAATATAAATGAAATGGACATATACACACACACATATATATATATTTACCATGACCTCACACACTGTAGTTTATGAAGGATATGCACTTTGTTTTGAATTTTTCTCACACTAATTTTTTTGTCTAGTTTGAGGACTCAGTAATCTTTTTGCTAACTGGTACTGCCAGATAGGATTTGACTTTTAAATTTAAAAGTCAAGCTAAGACACGATTAGTTTTTGTGAATAATAGTTATGTTATTCCTTTAAATCTTGTTGCAAAATTTCTTTTTTAAATGATAATGTTTTATGCTTTTTTGGCAGCAAAAAAGAGAATATCACATTTTCAATGTTATTTTTGTTTCAGAACCCTGGAGCATAGGGTTCAATTCCCTGTTAAGTCTATGGCTGAGCATGGTGGCCCTAAGAGAATCACTATCTTGCAGCTTCAGGTTCCTAATTGTAAAATGGGAGTAATAGTGACTGTTCTTCAAAAGGTATCGGAAGACTGTAATACTGAAGGTATTTGAATTTGTTTTCTGTTTTAAGCTAAGGTAGATTATATGTAGTATAATAAAAATATATACTTCACATGCCAGTGATAATAACACTCTTCTTCATCCTAGTTTAAATTTTTTTAGCCCTCTTCAGTATTTATTTTTGAAAGAATATATATCTTCATAAGATACATGAGCTTACAATTTCATCTGTCAAGTGACAGTATAAGATAGAATTGTTCATTCTGTCAGTATTTTGATTTCATTGTTCTGAGTACAAAAAAATCCACTTTCATGAAAATGAAGTTGAAAGAACAAATAGTAATAGCTGTAGTATCTTTGAAGGTGCCCATGGAACAATACCAAATTGTTTGGGGAATACTGATATTCTTTGGGATACAATTTAAGAAATACTGGATTACCAAGCATAAGTTGGTTTCTTATACATTTAAACTATTTACATTTTTGATTACTTGATAGCTGTGAACATTTCAAAAGGAAATGAAGGGATCCAGCCACTTGTCATTTTAACATTTCTAGGGCTCTTATGGGATAGGAACCAGAAACAATCTGGGAAGCAAAAGAACATGCTTGAGTTCAGTCTTTGCTTTCCATCATATCCCAATTTTTTTTTAAGTTAAAATAAGAGGGGAAAGGAACCCAACAGGCTCTACAGGAGGTATCCTTGATACATGCTTATAAAATACATGACAGATGCAAGAAAGACTTTACAGTATAGTTGTTTCTCTTAAGAACAAGTGTTCTTGTATGTTATTTAAGGCTAGTTTATTGGAAAAGTTTGAAAGAGCCATCGTAGCTGAAACAGTTCTCGTGTTGTATTGTGAACCTGAAATTAAATGTTGAGGAAATTGTTAGATTAGAAAGATTGCACATGTTTCTTAGTCCAACAAAGGTTGGACTAGAGCTCCAAGGTCTCTTCCAGCTGTATTCTGATCTCACAATACGTGCATAAGAGTAAATTGGATGTGCATATCAGATGGAGCTATACAGTGCTTTGAATTTGAGGGCAAAATAGTGCTTGTCAGCAACTCTTTAAATTAAACATGCATTTTTCTGAGACTTGATTGTAGCTAAAAGTAAAAAATCTTAGCAAGATACATTCATTTCCCAAAAGAATGGTGGAAAGTATGAGTAAGAAAAGTGATGTGGAAGCTGCTTGAAATAAAATATTTAGATTACAAAGTGCTGCAGATGTGTGTGGCATATTAATAACAACTATGAAAAAGTAATGGGCAGGGCAGGAAAGGTTGCTTTCTGGAATGAAGTTGAAGAAGCTATTGGTAGGAAAAAATAAACAAAAGAGAATTGTTGCTCAAAAATCAAGGATGACAAAAAGTTATTGTATTTTATACACAAACACATGCACATACATGCATACACATACATAGAGGGAAAGATAGATTTGAAGAATGTAGTCAAAGGATAAAATAGCTTAAGATTAAAGAAAACAGAATATGCAGAGCAATTGTAATAGGACAAATATTTGTTTTGGAAATAGGTGAAGAGAGTTTAGCAAAGAGCCTCCAGTAGAGTAGGTGGAATTACAAATGACAGTGATAGAATAATTTTGGGGGAAACTTCATCAAGAGAATTTAGGAAAGTGTATTTAGAATTTTGTGTGGGAGTGATAGTGATAACGTTGAAAAGTCAGATTGAAATGAATACAATGAATGTTAACGTCTATGAAAAAAATGGAAAGGAAGACATAAATGCTGTGAAAATGTTGAAGTAAAGTGGTAAAATATAGGTAGTGTAATTGGTGACATGTTAAAATATGGATGTGGCTTATGGATTCATTTATATGTGATTTAGTTAATACATGTGAAGTCTGCAACTGTACTGGATAAAAAAAAATCCATTAATTATACCCCTATTACAAAGAAAAAAAATACAAGTAATGAATGCAAAAGCTATATTGGGGATTAGTTTGTTAGTTATGCTTGGGAAGATGTTTGCCACAATTCTTATTAAACAGTTACACGAAGCAACAATATTTGGGAAGCTCAGTATGATTTTATCCCATGCAGAATATGCATTGGTCAGATTTTTCTTCGCAAATTGTTGAGAAATCTATGAATGTGAGTAAAAAAAAAGTGTATTTGTTGATTTAGAGAAAAGGTATAAAATTAATAGGCTTGAATTATGTACAGGTAGTCCTTGACTTAAAACAGTTCATTTAGTGACTGTTCAAAGTTACAATGGCACTGAAAAAAGTGACTTATTACCATTTTTCACACTTACGACCACTGCAGCATCCCCATAGTCACGTGATCAAAATTCAGACACTTGGCAACTAACTCATTTATGATGGTTGAGTGTCCCTGGGTCACATGATCACATTTATGACCTTCTGACAGGCAAAATCAATGGTGAAGCCAGATCCACTTAACCACTGCACTTACTCACTTAACAACTGTGGCAAGAAAGGTTGTAAACTGGGGCAAAACTCAACAAATGTCTCACTTAGAAACATAACTTTTCGGCTCAATTGTGGTTGTAAGTAGAAGACTGTAATGTTTTGGATAAGTATACGAAAGGTGGCTGGCTTGCATTTGGTAAGAGTGGTATAAGGTGAAAATAAGGCATGAATGGGAATGGAAAGTTTAACAAATGGTTAGCATTGAACCTGAAGTAAAAGAAGAGTGTGTAATGCTCTGTTGCTTGTTTAATGTAGAAATAGATAGAAACACACATATATTTTGGAAGAAATTTTCCAACAGATCACAGTAACAGGAGGTATTCCAGATTGACATGTATTAACATGAGCAGCAAATGCCACAATTCTTCTGGTTTCAAGGGTAAAAGGCAGAAACAAATAGTTCACCGTAGTTCTGCCCTTTCATGTGCTGTACATGTTTCCACCTATCCCAATGTTATTGATGGTAGCTTGCAAAATAAAATAAATGAGAGCCATGCTAATAGCATTATAATATCCGTGGGGACCTTAGTTCTCCAGTTTGAAAGCGACGTGCTAGGAGTTTCTTTTGCACATGTTGAGGTACCTATACATATCATAACGGTAGCTGGGCCTGGATTGCATCCAACTCTACACCTGGAAATAGTTGTTGGTATTATCAGTAAGTGCTAATCAATATGTGTTTTGTATAGATAAGATGGTTTTATGAATGGATCCATTCTTTGAATTTCCAGAGGTCACAAGAAAACATGCTGCCTGATTTCTATCTAAAACTGCCTTAAACTTGGGAGTGTTGTTTCAAACAAGCTGGTCATACCTTGTTTTCCTAAAATTAGATATACTAGAGATCTGATAACCAACCAGACTATTTATACTCTAGAAGAGGACAAGCAAAACTTTACTACTGGGTAAAGGAATTTGTTGCATTGGTACAAATCTCTAAACAAATCCCCGTACTCAGTATGGGAAACTGCTATAGAATAGTCTAGAAAGGGTAACATCTATAAATGTTAACACACATCTATAAATGTTAACACTGCACTACATGATCCAGTGCTTCCACATACATGAGCACCTGCATTCAATCGCTGTGCTGCAGAGGCTGTATCAGATTCCTAAACCTGTCAGAAGAAGTTAAATCAGTAAAATTGCTAAAATATGTTTACTTTTTTGAATTGATGCCTGAGAATAAAGTGAATTAGTTTGATGAAGCCTTGTAGTCTCTGGTCCATTTAACACAAGGGGAGATAGTTCTTTATTAAGTAAGCTAAGGAAGAAAACATGGGCATATGCCTTGAACTTTATGATATGAAATTTGTAATATTTTATTAAGTAAAGAATATATTGTTCACCCACAAACATGGTTGAAAAAGGGGGTTTCCTTCCTAAAAGGAAATTTATCTTAGTCCTGCATTTTCATCAAAAGAATAAAATCAGGTCTTGTGGTCTAGTGACTAGAAAGATACGGGTAGTCCTCATTTAATGATGGTATTTGGGACCAGTAACTTTATTGCTAAGTGATGTACGTTAATTGTAAAGTGCCATGTCATGTGATTGCACTGATACTGCAACCATTCCACTTAAGAGTCAGTTGCCAAGTGCCAGAATTGTGGTCACATCGCCATGCAGATGCTGAGACAGCCATGACCACAAAGTCCAATGATACATCTCATTCAGCAGTGTCAGCAGGATCACATGTTTACGTGATCCTGAAATAAGGATTACCAAAGTTTTGTGATAATTACTAGTGGTTGATACTGACCAAATAAATCTGACAGAATTCTAAATTTGCTAAAAGAGAGATTGCCCATGCTAATGTTTACCTTTATTTTTCTCCCCAAACTAGATATTTCTGCAAGATAGAAGGCTGATGTAATTTGATATGCAAGGAAATAATGGGGAGTATGCAAGGTCATCTTTAATAAAGGAAAAACTGTTTATCATAATTAGATAACATAATGATAAGACAAGAACAATTAGCAACTGAGGGGGTACATAACTTATAACTTGCTTCTACTCCAACAATATAACTTTATTCTTTGAAGTGTCCTTTGTAATGGGATCCTCTTTCCACTAATACTACAAATCTGATTTTTGCTATAAATGACATGTTAGATGTCTGAATTTGAATTGCATTTCCATAAACAGAATTTATGTCATCAGAAAGAAGGCCTTAAGGTGGGGGGGGGGACACTTCAACTACTTCCCATCACTGTTTTTATGTCTATAACAGCAAGGTCTTACTCTTGTAGAGTGGTGTATAAACCCATTCTCCCTCATTTAAGTTTCTTTCATTATTAAAGTAATGGCTACATGAAGATGATGTATACATTTACCTCTAATGTCTGCTTAATAATCTACTCTTCTCCAGCATGATGACTGAAGAATCCACCAATGGATTATTTCAGTCCTCCTGCCCAATCAGACTAAGATGTCATGTTGTCACGCCCCTCCTTGACTGGAACCTCCCAGTTTCATCTTAGTCTTTCGCACATGAGGATGTGATATCTTGACTCTCAGGCTCATTCTTCAGGCAGGATAGACTAATAGAAACTGTTACACCCATTAGTGGATTCTTCATTTTGGAG